CCACTGCAACCTTCCTCATTAGAGATTAACTATACATCAAGTCAATTATCAATTAAGTGACAAGTTGGGTAAACATTGTAGGTGGTAATCGACCCTTTGAGGGTTCTTTGAAGCTCACTCAGCAACTCCAGCTTCTTTGAAGTCTTGTTTTGGCTTCTGCCACTGACTGATTGGATTGATTTAATAGTGAGTTGTGCTGGGTTAATCTGAGCAAAATAATAAAGCGCAGTTACAGAGCTGCTTTTTGGTTTTGGGTTTTGTTGTTTTGTTTTTCACAGCCAGTGCTCAAAGGGTAGCTGTGCTGGTTAGGAAGACGGAGCCCGTGACTTAGCTCATAGAATCTCTCGCATGGCCACTGGCGGCTTCTAGAAAGCATTTCTCCCTCCAGATGCTCTTCCCCACGTTACCTTCTGGGGTTCACAGGGAAGCAGACAGCAGAAGAGTCTTTGGCAGGATGTGGGCAGGCGTCCTGTGGAGGAGGGGAGGCCCACTGAGGGGAGTGGGGGGGGGGGGGAGGAAGGAGGGCTGAAGAGGCTGTCCGCAGGAGGAGAGCCTGAGCAGCAGGCCCGCAGTTGGATCTGACTCCATGGCAGATGTGGAGCTGTCCTGTGCTTCAGGCTCCATCTCCACGTTCCAACACGCATGCTCATTCCTCCCCTCCTCCTTGCCTAGGACACACACACACACGCAAGCCACGTAGCAGAGGGGTGCAGGCTATTCTTGTCATGAAAGTGTGTCTTTTAAAGCTGGAACTTGCTCTTCCGCCTGCTTTATTCTAAGACAGTAGAACCTTAACGCTTCCACAATCATGTCTCAAGTTAGACATCATAGTAGGCAAACTCTGAGGTGAAATTAATTTCCATTCTTTCTCGTACGTCTAGAGCTATGAGTTGCTTATATGCTATACCACCAAATCACTTCAGGTAAAAACAAAACAAAACAAAGCACCTGGATGATTTTGCTGTTAGGTATTTTTAATTGCATGAAAACACCATAGTTACTAGACATAAAGTGAGCTAGAAATTAGATTTTTCTAGTAGAGTAGCGCAGGGAGGAAGCCAACATGGATAAAGCTAAGATCTGGGTGGAGTCCACCCATCATGAAGTGCGTGGGGAAGATGGAGTGGCGTCACCGGGCCACTGGGCAGTGGACAGTGACTTTGCTCTTGGCACCTTTCCCTGCTCTGGGACCTGCCGGACTATTGTCATAGTAACTGACGTAACAGGAGGTTCACTTGGTAATTTGGCTCCAACTTTAATGGAAATAAAGATAATCCTATTATTGTTCCTTGTGATTTTCCCAAGTAGCTTCTACTTTGAGTGCCCTTGCTTGTGTATCCTGGCTTTTCAAAACCGATTATTGCAAAATTACATGTGTGACTTCTCACTCCGCTCATGACCATTAACACGGGGCTCCTGTCTCAGCGATGTAACCTTGCATTTGAGAAGAGGTCACATCTACCCTCCTCCATGTTTTCCTTGCAATTCTAGGATGGGTAAATCTTTTAAGTATACCAATTTGGTCCATTAAACATTTCAGAGAGTGTCAGTAAAATAATAGTCTTTTAAAGATAAGCCATATCAAATGCATTTGTATAAATCTTCAAAGAGTGTTTCAAATTATTCTGTTTTATACTTAAAATGTGTCCTTTGGGGGTGTTTTTGATGATTACCCAGGAAACCATCTCTTACTTTTTGGCCTCCCTCCACTGAAGCATAATTGAATGAAGCGATTTCCATTTAAAAGTAGTACGACTGTAGTTGTGTCAAAACAACACTTGTTATAATTGCAATTAGCACTAAGTGCACAGCTCTTTGTCTTCACTGACCCTCGGCTGATGGAGCGTGAGCTGCTAGGTTACTCTGCAGCTGCTCTGCTTCTCCTGGGCCAGTTATCTGTGCGAGGCTTAGGGACTGTCCTGGATGGAGGTAGTTCTGTCACTGAGGGGACATTACCCAGCTGGCACCCCTGGTGGCTGAGCCTGGGGCTCACGCTCAGGCCGCTCTGTGTGTGATCTCGCGTCCTTTGTGCATCTTGCTTTACTCCTCCACAGAGTCAATAAGGTCATACGAGTCTACAACAATACTCACAACCCTACAGATCTTTTGTGCCCAGCAAACAGGGCCATCTGATTCATCGTAGGAATACAGACAGGAGTACAACTCTGCATAGCCTACTAAGAGGTATTCAAAGAGAACAGGATAGGCCAGCAGGCAGCAGGGTTTATTCGATCAGGAGTGAATAGGATCAAAGCTTGTGAGGTTTGTGAGCTCAAAAGTCGCTCTGCCTTAGCCAGGGGGCGTCCAGAGCTGGGAAAGGCCTTCCCCTTGGAGTCCAGACCCACAGAGAAGGCTGCCCTCCGGGTTGGGCCTGCTGACCCTCTCCCCGTGACGATACTCCCCACGGCTGCTCTTGGACCCTGGCTGTGCTAGGCCCTTTGGCACTGCAGACAGTCTCACGTTTCAGCCGGCTGAGAGCTTTCCTACACGCTTTCTGGGATCTACCCCTAAATTCATTTAGAGATACGTGAGTAAGAGAAGGTTAAAGGCAGAAATTAAGGAGAGGGAACTAGAGGGTACTAGGGATGAGGAGAGGGATGGGGAATCTAGGGAAAGCCATGTCCTCTGCCTTCCTAGATCCATTGGTGACAATGCATTGACGGCCGTGGTGTGTGTGTCTGTGTTTATGTGTGTGTCGTGTTTGTGTGTACATGTGTTTTGTGTATTGCTGTGTGTGTGTTGGGGAATTTGTGAATTTGTGTGTGTGTTTGTGTGTTTATGTGTTTTGTGTATTTGTGTGTTTGTGTGTATGTTTCTGTGAACTGTGTGGGTGTTTGTATATGTGTTTGTGTGTTTATGTGTGTGTCTGTGTTTGTGTGTATATGTGTTTTGTGTATTTGTGTGTTTGTGTGTACGTTTCTGTGAACTGTGTGGGTGTTTGTATATGTGTTTGTGTGTTTATGTGTGTGTCTGTGTTTGTGTGTATATGTGTTTTGTGTGTTTGTGTGTACGTTTCTGTGAACTGTGTGGGTGTTTGTATATGTGTTTGTGTGTTTATGTGTGTGTCTGTGTTTATGTGTTTATGTGTTTTGTGTGTTTGTGTGTACAATTCTGTGAACTGTGTGGGTGTTTGTATATGTGTTTGTGTGTTTATGTGTGTGTCTGTGTTTGTGTATACATGTGTTTTGTGTATGTTTGTGTGTATGTTTGTGTGAATTTGTGTGTGTGTGTGAAGGAGACGTTGTCATTGTTTTCCCCAGCCTCCTCTCATCTTCATTGGCACCTCCCCTGGGTTTACCTAATTTTATTTCATCAATGTTGGCATCTGCATCCTAATCACGTTCCTTCTCTTCTTTATATAAACTTTGAACAAAACAATGACCAGAATTGAGGGACAGGAACACGACTGACCACAGTTCTTTACCTCCCTCCCCAGCACACAAGGCTGGCCTGGCCAGCAGCGTGTGCACAATGCCCACACACGCCGCTGTGACATCCGTCACCTAATTGTCTGAGGCTGATCGGCCATAACTTTTCTACTTCAACCCTTTTCTGGTAAAGAAAACCAGGCGGTGTATAAGTTAGAGGAGTGTTATGTCCCCTGATTCTCTCACAATGACAGGCAGAAAACAGGCACTCAAGAGAAGCTTAATATAAGATATTTTTTAAAGAGAGCCTCTCCTTTTACAAACAGGCTTACCCAAGGTTGCAATGTTATTCCTGGCAGCACTCAGGTGGCAGCTAGGTTAATCCTCAGATCCCTGGGTCAGCATTTTTTCTCATTAAGTCTCATCTTCAACAATGGGGAATGAATCACAATTCCAACATATGTGTGAGAATTTAAAGCTAAAACTCGGTAAGATCAGACATCAAGTATACTTCCCTGTCTGAAGCTATTATTCAAGTTGAATAAAACTTTCAAAAAAGACAAGGAGGTGAAGGTATAGTTTTGTTTTCCTTCTCTAATTGTAATACTATTTAAGGGAAAAAAACACATTTAATTGAAGAATGTTTCCATGAATCTGAGTCCTGTCCTTTGTGTTTTGTGGGGGGAAATGGTAAAGTTCAATTCAGTTGGACAGTAATTGGCTTAAAATGGACAGAGAAACTTACAGGGAGTTTCATAGTTGACATCTTTTATCCTCTAGCTTTTGTACTAAAATAGCAGTCTGAGGCTGGGGAAATGTGTATAATCGCTCTTGCTGCTTCCCCTTCTGCCCCTCAGTGGCCAGGCCTTGCTGCGATCCTCTTCTGCTAGGAAGATGCTTATACATTTTTGCAAGTGGCTTGCAGCTCACCGGCGGCAGCAGGTTTAAAGCACGGAATCGTCAAATAATTAAAACAAAAGAGTCCGAATCCCAGCATCAGAGTTACGAGGGAAGCCTTTGGATGTCTTCTCTTTCACGGCTACCTTTTGACTAGTACTTGAACCCAGGGACAAAAGTGCTGTGTGATCCTAGCATGAGGCCATGCAGGGCACACTGTGCGAGGCCTGCTCCCGCCTGTCCCCACCGCTGCCCGGTGGAGGACAGCCTGCTGTTCGGATGGACTCAGTCACGCGTCCGTTCAGTGTGGGTGCTACCTGGATTGCTCCTGGTGTTCCCATAGCCACAGGTGCCTCTCCTCACCCTTATCACAAGCTGGTGTACCAGGTTCTCAGAGGAAAAGCACACAGCATCCTGTCCCCAGAAACTCAGTCACTACTTGCCAACAGGAAGTAAAGATAACCCTTCTTCTACCCCATCAGCCCCAGACCAGCTCCAAATCTAGCCTCCCTCTCTCTTGCTCTGAGTCTGCTATGAGGGAGCACAGCAGTACCGACAGTGCCAAACACCAGGATACAGACATCTCAGAAAGCCTGGCTCGCATCAGAGTGGAAAAGACCTGGGAGTAGTCAGAGAAGGAGGGGACAGGGGGAACCTCAGGTCAGCCAGTGAACGGACAGTGGAAGCACCCGCTGAGCCTCCTGCACCTCGAGAAACGGCGCTCCCAGGACCTACCATATGGACGGAGCTTCTGTGCCGCTGATCTCCAGGAAATCATACCCTTCCTCCAGCTGGAAGTCAGTGAAGACCAGGGCGATGGTGTCCCCCGGCTCGGCCAGCACGGTCCAGGTGCAGTCGGCATTGTTGTCGTACTCGGAGGGGAAGTGCGGGCTGGAGATGGAGCTGCTGGTCCCACGCAGGGTGCCGCCACAGGCGCCCTCGGCTGCAGAGAGAGGGAGAGGAGGTCAGCCCGACCCTCACGGCCCGAGTCGCTCACCAACTGCCCTCTGCAAGGCTCATGATTGAGACAATCCAGAAACCCTCTTCTGCTTGTCTCACTTGTTCTAGGAACCGTTCATGGCACGGTTAACCCAGGAGCCATGTGGAGAGGGAAGGACCGACCCTGGCTCCCTCGAGTGGGTTAAGGGTCAACACATCAGTCTGATAACAGAGAGTGAGAGGAGAGGTGTGTTCTGTCATTCTGAAAGGGATGGTAGACAAGGCGACATGGTATCAATACTTACTAGGGATTCATTTAACTGTACACACACGCAACATGCAATACATCTACCCATGCGACTATCTCCCTAGTGAGCTCACAGTACACATAAGATCATTAACACAATGCAACCTTTTCTGTCTGATTTGATTGTATTTTCTGAAAGTTAAGTGCAAGAACAGATGCAAAACAAGTAACGCTTGTAATATGTAAAGTTAAAACATGCCGCTCCTGACAGACTTGCATCGATCAGCATCCATGCTATGGGGGAGCAGGAACTATATTCGGTCAAATCCAGCTTGTGACAAATCCAGCTTTACAAATCAGCATAGCATACCAAATTCCTTTCAAGGTTTCAGAGGGAGAATTACTGATGTTGAATTCCTCTAAATATTTGCAAGAGCCGCCTCTGAGCCGGAGCATGGCTTGTGATTTCCAAGTGTCGGTGGATGCATATTTATAGTCATATCATAGTAGTAATAAAGAATATGGGTGACCTGAATAGCAACTCTTTTGGGTGTCAGCAGAAGAAAGAAAAGCAAAAATACTCCACAATGCTCACTGAAGTGAAAAATCAAATTCCAGAACAACTTCCTTTAGTTCAGAGGGTGTGTATGTATGGGAACACATTGGTGTTAGCCTTGATAGACCTTTCATTTTGTAATATATTTTATTTTCTAAAACAACCATTAAACAGCTATCCACATAACATTTGAGGAAAGGCCATAAAACACTGTACATATAGTGTGTGTGTGTGTGTGTGTGTGTGTGTGTGTCCACGGGTCCTCTCTGTAGACCAGGCTGCAATCTAGTGTTGAACTCTGGATCCATTTGCCTCCTGCTCTAGGGCACTGTAACCACTGTGCTGTGCTCCATTCCATAACCAATATTTCTGATAAGCAAATTAGAAAAATAATATAATAGTTTTCAAACATGCTTCTAAACATGCTCTACCTCAACATTTATTTATCTACCTGAAAACATATTGTTTAACTGTAAATTAATGAATTGGGGAATTATACTTTGAAATTCTGATTTGGTGAATTTTTCTCTCATTTTATTCTAGAGGTACCATAGTACATTTATCCACAATGTCACTAACTGATGAAACTTTTACTGAGCGGAATGGAAAGTTTTATCTTAATATCTTAAAGAGTAACAGGGACCAATTCAGTAATGACAGACATCTGGAGTGATGGAAAAGGGCATTATTTATTAAAATGTATTGTAATAATGGGATAAAAATTTGAAAACTTATACTGCCATACAAATATATTTTATATAAAACAATAATTTAGTGTATGACATATGGCTACATCAACACAATAAGATATAATGTGTGACTGCCAATAAACAAAATGAAAGCTATTATTGGGTAAGCCAGAGAAGTTAAACAAAATTTGTATCATGTAACTTTTCCTTGCTGATCCACATAGGCCGATAAGAACGTCACAAGATTCTATCTCTATGAAATAAAGCATAGAATGAGGTTTGAAGCCACTCTTTGCTAAGTCTCAGGGGCTGTTATCATAATGCACGGCATCTAGGCAACTCAGAAGGATCACTATTTGTTTGTTCCGTTTAGCAGACATTGCTGGTGACTTCAAGAAAGCAGGTCTTGAGGGAATTACAATGGATGGTTTTGAACAGTACTCTCCACAGTCTTCTGAGGTTCAGGACTGACAGCGCCTCACAGCCTGCCAGCACCACGGACAGCTCCCAGCTCACCCAGGCTTCACCCCCCCCCACTGGAGCACGTGACCCCTGCGATGAATGAAGTATTGTAAGTAGGAAACTGTAAATAAACTGGCTCCACATGCGCGATTCAAAGTCCATTTCTGCAAGATGCCTTAGAACAGCATAGGGAGGTGGAGTGCATGTCTCTCTATATTTCAATTCATTTTAGTGTCTTCCCCCTGAGTATGCACAATCTATAATCATGAAAACTGGCTGCCCTTGTTGAATGTCTCTAATGGGTGCTCTGGAACTTCTGTGTGGTAGAGTTGGGGGTGGCAAATCAGAGGGAAGTGCGTGGGATTTGGCTCCCACACCAAATTGTTATCAAAACAACTAGTCTTTAAATGTTTCCTATCTGGATTTTTTTTTAATCTTGCATTTTGAAGGAAATGTTCAGCTAATAGAAATTTGAATTAGTCCAAGTTTTAGTTGATCCCAGCAGAAGGTAAGATTTTTAAAGGGAGCTGTACTGAATCTGCTGATTTCTGACTGAGAGGATCTGCCATCACACATAGGCCATGAGAACCATGCCGCTTGCATATGTCCTGAAGGGATTTCAGCCATGAGAAAAGTTTACCGTCAACTTTTAAAAATATCTCTTGTGTGGGTATAAACTTTGCTGGGAATCTATCTTACCAACACAATTCAAAATATAGAGCAGAACATTATTTAGAAACCAGACTTTTCCGCGTCTGTCATAAACATGGAAAGCCTCCGAGCATGCAGAACAGACGGATCATGAGCTGCAAGCTGGCGTGGCCACGCTGTGCCCTCGGTGCTACCTGAGCAGCCCCGGAATCGCCAGGACGTCTCTGAGTCACCGCCTCACGTTGGGCAGACACGGGGCACACGCCTGGGAGCACAGTCCCATCTCTACTTTTAAAATCCCGGAAGAGATACCTGGCATGGAGATGAGAAATATGGGCCGTGCACAGTCCTCGTGAAGTGTGTGATATGGAGAGCGCCGGCAGGCCTGCGCTCACCTCGGGGCAGCAGCGACAGCTCAGCGGGCAGGCTGGAGTCCGGGGGTCTTGGGTCTGCCATCAAGTGCTGACAGCAGCTCTGGAGGCCCTATTGGGTGGCTCTTGCTTTTCCTTTGCCGCAGTTTGCTTCCCTGGGAGACGGAACTGTGGGTGTTGGGTAGTAGTCGCAGGCATTCACTAACCATGGAAAGATAACTGCTGTTCCTCTAAGGCACAGCATGGCCGCCACACCAGAGCTGTGCAACTACGTATCGACATGTGGTCTTGAACCTCAGTGTCTGCAGCTTCAGGCAACACTCAAGCACACCCTTCCTCCGGTTCCAGTCCCTATTTTCTGTGGTGAAATGAAGAGTCCTCACCCCTCACCAAGGGGTCTAAATGGGGCCATTCCCCCAGCATCTGCTTCGGCTCTCCCGGGTGGGTGAAGGCTGGGACGAGAGTCGCCCACCGCAGCCCAGCCCTTCCGTCCCCACCCCCCACCCCACCATCTTTGTGTCCACCACAGAATTAGCCTTCCTTCCTCTTCATTCTGCCTCTGCGAGCAGGCTGCTCTCCCGGGTCACTCTGACCCCCACCTCCCACTCCCTCACGGGCAGACAGGTCTTTGCGCTGACACGTCGGAGCCTTCCGCTGGCTCCGCTGAAATCCAAGGTCCGTTACCACCGCAAGTTAATTCCCACATTTCAGCCATTTTATTCTCTGGGGGAAACCCAGACGTGTCGTGCAGATGCTGGAACTCTGCAGTCCTTGAAGAGGGTCCTAGCCTGGTCCAGGCCCCACACACCCTCCAGGCAGCCCGGGGGCTGTGTACCTCCGTGTGGACGCGGCCACTTCCAGACCACTCCCTGCCCTTCCTACCGAAGACCCCAGCTCCTACTCTCTTATCCTCAGGCTCCAGAAAACACTTCCAGTTACCTATAGCGTTTGCACTTTTCCAGTTACGTATAGCTTCTGCACTTTAACTCATCATTCCTTGACTATTTTAACTTCTGCTCACTGTCACATTTTCTAACTCTTGTCTCCTCAAGACTTTTGCCTCCATTATTGCTGCTCTCAAAGTCAGCAAAGAGAGTCTTTGGATAACTGGGGCACTCAGCTCACCTCTGACGTCTGTCACCAACCAGATACCAAGGGGACACGCACACTCATTTCCATCATCACTGTTCAGGGCCTTGTCACCAACCAGAGACTCTTCCCTCAGGAGCTCTTTTGCAAGTCTCATTTGCAGAACGACGTATCTTTGTCTGGATGACACTTCATGTGAGCGCAGGAGCTGCCATATGTATATGAATGGTCCAGAGACACTCGGTGCCCTGACCTTCCACCGCCCCTGCATGTCCTCCCCTCAGCCTTCCTGGCCTCCTTTCCCACCTCCCCATCCTCGAGTCTCCTTACCACCATTTCTGTCCCTCCTTGCATAGAGTCCCCTGTGCTATCCCAAGAGAACACAGGAGACCCTGCAGATCCAAGCTAAACTAGCTCTACCTGTACTCCAGGGTAGGTAAACATTACTAGAGAATAACCAAAAGCAAATATGTGCTAACGAGTTAACTTTATAATATTGAATTGGCCCAACAGTCAAACAGTCTGACTTCTGAGTTTTCATAGGTACCGATATACTGTGACTGTACTGGAAATCAAAAGGTGGCTCAAACAACATTTAGTATAATACTAATGCCATTAAACTACAAGAGAATGAAGGGGAATACTAAAATACTTACTTTAATTGTGGCAAAATTAATATGGCACAGGAAATCGGTTCTGTAATTTGGCAAAACATAGGGACATTTCTTGGAGCTAAATCCTTTCAACATGAACGAAGACAAAAGCAACACTGCATGAACAGAAATATTTATTGTAGCATTGTGTGCAGAAGTAACAGTGGAAGCACGGATTACACTTTGTGATTGAGAGAGATAACTATCAGTGTAGCATTGAGGATAAGACTATACCAACTAGAGTTGAAATGTTTGTGATGGAAGGCTCGTCTCAGAAGGAGAATGC